TAGACGGCATTGATAGACATCAATACCCAGTGCCTAAAGTGTATGAGGATAACCAAGGCGCAATAGCGTTAGCAAAAAAATCCTGTGAACAGACAGAGGTGTAAGCATGTTGACATAAAATATCATTTTGTGAGGTCAACTGTGAGTGATGGGAAGATAAGTTTGAATTTCTGCCCCACAGAAGAGATGGTAGCAGATGTGATGACAAAACCTGTAACACAGTTTAAGTTGACTAAGTTTGCAAAGTTCATGTTTGGAAAACTAACCACGTATGTACCAATGTGAGAGCAAGTGGGGGTGTTAACATATATGAGTATATGCCCTCCATTGTCACAATCTGTTGTATTTACTTTCCTATACATTATATACAGTATTGTGTGTTAAGCAGTAGCCAATAGGATGCCCCTGAATGGACATGTGACCTAAGAGAGGTCAAGTGAACCTGCGTTCAATAAAGACGACTCAGTTCAAGTCAAACAGCCATGATGCTCCACTTGTGTTATTTGTACTTCCATAATATTCGGCCTAGCATTGGGTATGAACGCCGGGACCGTTGAGCGAACCATCTCTGCTAACAGTTTTAAAAACAAATCTTTGGAAAGAGAGCATCAAAGACTTCTCTCTATTCAGCATTTAACTTATATATGATACACTGTAACAAATTGCTGTAAATTTACGGTGCATTTCTAACGGTATCTTACAGTATGTCATAATAACAGTAACATAGTTAAATTTCCATCCCTTGCTTGTAAATTAACGGCCAATGTCATGAATAAACAGTTAAAGCTGTCAATTTACAATAATAGCAGACTACCGTAACTCAACTGCATGTTAACATATATTTTATGAAGTGGTGGAAATACACATACAAGTGCAGTGAATCACAATCCATCTACATCTGTTGTAGGTTAATGTATGGAGCCCACGTCAGCCACTGAATTACAGGTCCTGTAAGTCATCATAATGAGATGACTTTGACTTACAGGACATTACTATACATGTAGCTGTCACTTTTATCCATAACGCCCATGGTTTGACATCATTTTATGTGGAGTAATTGGGGGTTAGGTGTCTTGCTCAGTGACACTTCAACTTGGCATAGGGAGCAGCCAGGATTCAAACCGCCGACCTTGCGCTGCGCAGCACACCCTCCCTATACCTTGCGCCGCCTTCGCTGTCGTTTCAGTGGCTGGAATGTAAATATTATAAATATTTGTATTTTTCTCATTGACTCGTCTCTCCAAGTAAAGTTGATAAGTGTTATTTGATAAATGATAGACATTCTCCTTCCTTACATCTTGTTGTCTTCCTCAACTTTGTAATTTTAATATTTTACCAATGACAGTGTTTCTAAATATTTAATTTTGGTTTGTTTTACAGAGGCACTGGATTAAGGACGCTAGCCGTTTGCTGCGGTCAATTGAAAGTTTTCTATAGCGTATTGTTGCAGTTAGTTTACCTTGTTCCTAATGATTTTATGATTCACTTTTTTATTATTGTATACATGCGGCATATTTTATGTTTTGTTCTTGATTACAAATGCCTAACATTTTTGTCTTAAAGGCATCTAATAAACTCCAAACACTATGACCGAAATGAGTTTGGTTGTCTTTCTTTAATTTGTGGGGAATTAAATGCAAAAGTATACGGTTATAAGTAAACGGTAACATTCTGGTATTTATAACACAAAAACAGTAATCGTATGGTAACAAACTGTAATCCAATATACAACAACATACCGTAAATTACGGTAGGTTACTGTAAATAAAACAGTAAGGTAGCGTCGACTGCCAGTAAATTGCAGTTAATTCACAGTAAAATTTGTTCAAGTTTACGGTAACATACAGTAATCCATTTTACGGTAACATAGTGTAAAAACCATTTACCTTATTCACAGCTTTTTAAGGATTTTTTTGATCTGGTCCAGTTTCCTCCTCAAAACCTCTTGACTTCCTGTGAAAAAGATTGATCTGTTTGCCAACTCATCATGCAAATGACGAAGTATGTTCCAGCTCCAATTATTCCAGCTCTTTGCAGATGTCTTCATTGTGGTTCGTCACAAAAGGATCACATTGAGCATGTTCTGTACTTCTATGCCAATGAACGGATTTGATAACATATACGCTGGTAAATCAACAAAAGAGCATTGTCTTATGAACCCGTCATTAAAACACAAAGTCAACACACGGCTTTTGCGGGAAACTCCAGTACCGACATTAAGCTTGATAGATTGATATGTTGGCGTGAGGGCGGAGGTTGACTAACACTATCTAAGAAGCAATAAAGAGACGGTGCCAAGTACACTTTAGTATCTTTTGTGCAAGCTTTCTTATGACCTTCATGCTTGTACCAAACTCTATTTGTAAACTGTAATGGAGTTCAGCAACGTCATTTTTGAAGGATATTTTTTTTCTAGTTAACTGTGTCTCTTTCCCATCACGCCAGAGGTATCGAGTCTCACATGCCAGTGTCACTGAACCACTCCCACCACGCAGTCACACCTGAGCAGGCCATGTGAAATGTGGACTAACAGCTTAAAACATGTAATTACAGGAAAGGATCATAACTACGTTTTCATTAGAGTCGAATGGTCTTCACATTAGAATTGTTTTCATCGGCTTGGAAAACCAAGTCAACCAAGTGAAGTGGACAGGAAAAGCCAATACTTTATCAATACACCTGTTCAAACAGGAAAATGTAAACAAAAGTGAACACTTTTTGCAATCCGTGGTCTGCTTTTTGTAATTTGCTTGGATCTGCAATCCACCACAAAAGAAGTCTGTCTGTTCAGCTAGTTTGTTCTTGTGGATTCACAAAAAAGTGAATTAGCAGAGGGAAGACGACAGAGAACAGGACAGGGGGAATTACTTGTTCTTTTAAAGGATCTTTTTGTTACCTCTAAACTCTAATATAAAGGAGCATTTATAAATGATCTCCTTAGCAGGTCCTGCATTAACGGGCACTTTCCGGCAGGCCAGTGGGAATTCTCACTGTTAAAAAATACAATGCACTCTAAAAAGCCCAACTTCAAATTTATTTGAACACATTCTTTAAAGTTAAGTCAACAAATACCTTTGAAAAAGTTGAACTAACTAAAACTTTACTAATAAGTACTGCAATCCACTGAAACCTTTAGAAACACACACACACACACACACACACACACACACACACACACACACACACACACACACACACACACACACACACACATATATATGTGTATACATGTGTATACATATATATAGTATATATATATATTATATACATATATATATATATATATATATATATATATTATACATATATATATATATATATATATATATATATATATATATATATATATATATATATATATACATACACACATGTATGATACATTGCTTTTTATACCTAAATTGAGTAAGAATGACTTGCTACAGATTAATAAAAACCTGCTCCGCTGGTAAAGCTGATGATATAATTACAACTCATTCCTAGAAGGAAACTTCCTTGATGAATGAAAGGTTTTGGGTTGGACCTCTATTATGAGGTCTGGTTGGAATTAAGGGTTTATTACAATTATGTCTAGTCCAAGTTGAACGTGTGACTTTTAAATTGTTTGCCCAGTATGCTCCGTAGACCCATCTCCAATCGAACAGATGCTGTATTTGGTATCAAAGTACGTACGGATTTTAACACTCCACTCTCCTCCGGCGAGAGTCATTAGCGCTTGATATCTTAACCCTTGTTGAGCGTATCTTTTGTAATAGGTTAATCTAAACAACGCTACTTAATTAGTGCCTACAGGTCTACTACTAACAGGTTTCAGTTAGTTTCCCTCGATGAGGCTGGCACAAAACTGTGGTTGGTCTCTGGTCTATGGTAAGTTAGGTCTTGGCAGGCCCAAAGTCGTATAAGGAAGTCTTTTAGTTATAAGGAAGTCTTTTAGTTCGCAAAAGCCGAAACGCAGCTATGACTACTTCAGGGAACTAGAACAGAGAGGAATACATTAATCAGGTCAATAACAGAGAAACACGTGGCACCTGGTGGAACCAATGACAAGATCGTACGTGGATTTGCCACTTTTGGTGCCGATTGAAAAGTGGCTGCATTTACTGCTCGCAAATCCTGCACAAATCTCCATTCTGTGAGTTAACCATTATCGCAAACCTTTTTTAATGGGTGTGCGCACAGGAATCTTCACATGGTACTATAATACCTGGTTTAAAAAAGGGATTCAAAAACTGGTTTTATACTATCGATGGCTTTTTGTTTGAGTGGGTATTGTTTGAGGCACGGCCTGTAATTAGATTCAGGACACACTACCAGCGGCGCTGCGCCCTTTGTGAGACCCACACGATACTTTCTGCTGCTAAAATTGGATACAAGCCTGCTTTTTGTTTGTGTTCCTCGAGGAGCTCTGCGGTTTTGCGCGTTCTTTACTTTTGTGATCAATGTAGCGCTGCCTACATTATCACTACCGCCCCTTTGAGGATCCTTCGCACCCGGCCTGAAATCTTTAAGGCCGAGACGCTGTTACAACCATGGACCAAGATCCTGCCATTCCCAGTGAGATGGTTTAGCCAATGAAATGTTTCTTTTGTGTATTAGTGTGTCTGCCTCGAACGAACCCCTACTGCCACGACTGGTTGTGTTTGATAAGGTGAGTTTTGACAATTGCCTTGCAGAGTCAATTGCCTTGCCTGTCCTATCATGGCTTTGTGGTGTCTGTGCGAGTCCTTTAAGCCAGAGTGGCTGACGATTGGGGATGAATTGAAGTTTGGGAACCAAACCTTTCAGTTAAGGTGTGTTCACACAACCGCGGTGCGAATAAATTGCGCTGTAAGATGAGCGCGTGTGTTTAAAAATGTCCATAACCTCCCCAAAAGTTTTGGGATTCTATTTTTTTCTCCAGGACTTTTCCAGGCCTGGAAATCACTTTCCCAAGTTTTTCATGACCGTATGAACCCTGTTAACGATAAAAAGTCATAACAAATAAAAAGACTAAAACATAATGGTTAGAGGATCTTTTTTTCATTATTTATTTACAGAATATGGTTGAAGACCAAACAATCAGCGATACTGCTCGAAAGTTGTTGGTAGTTTAGTAATTGACCGTCTTGGCCGGCCTTGTCTCATCCAGGTCAGCTTCAAGGTAACGGAATCGGCGATGACGGCGCAGAATCTCAATTGCCTTTTGTTCTACGGTGGAGGGGGTGATGCCAAGATCCTTCAGACCAGGAAGTCCTGGGTACTTCATGTCTGTTGCGTGAAACTGGAAAAACAAAAGCACAGTAGAGAATCAGTGATGGCTGGAGAACGTCTGCAAGTGAAAACAGGCTCTTTTCATAGACGGTCGTCTTACCCGCTCTACTTTGTCTGCGGTTGTCCAGGGTTCAAATGGGTTCATTGAGAAAAACTTAGCAGCAAGGCTGAAAGTAGATACACAAAAGCCTTCACATGATATTACAGAGATAAAAATTACACCTGAGAAATGGTTGGATTACTAAACCGGCCTGTTTCTGTGAATCTTTCAGAAGACTGATATAGATCTGCAAGTAAAAACCTCTAGAAACTGTGTGCAAATATGGTATCAATATGGGTGTACACTTTGCTTTTATTTACAATAAAAGCATCTTGTATGTGGTGTGGTTGGATGCTCGAGTCAAGAGGGCTTTTCTCTGAAAATGCTGAAAAACATTTTTAAAGCACGTACTGATAGAGCGGGCGAGGCAATGGGTAGGGCAAAAAAGGTCTGTGTGCCACCGCGTAGATGTACTCCACCAGGTCATGGAGGAGGTACCGGTTGGGACTGGACGACGAGAGAAAACAGGACAAGAAACAGTTCAGGAAGGAGAGCTGAATACTAAGCTGTATACAAATATTGCATGTTTGGCTCATCCTTGCACTCTTTTCCTCTCACTCCTAGATTTATATAATGATAATCCAACTTCATGAACAAAACAAGTGTGGTCCATGAAAACAACAGAAAACACAAAAATAACTTGATTACAATATTAAAAAGGATACAAATGTAATAGACTTAAAATCACAGTACTGGTAGTAAAACAGAATGAAATAAAAAAAAGGCATCAATAAAATATAAAATACATTGAAATAATGAAATAAAAAAAAAAAATTCAACACTCGGAGCAGCTCCTGGACTCTCAGGCAGACTGAGACTGTTCATCAAAAGGGTTACGCCTGCACTTTGGAAGAACATTATGAACTTTACTGGCTCGCCCACTGATAGCATGTATGCCAAATCGAGACCATGAAGTGCTGTAAAAACCATCTTTCGTGTAACTTCACACGTTTTTTTTTAAATAGCCGACGTAAACTTCAAGGACTGCACATTCCAAACAATGCTGTTCCCTTCCCTCACATGGCAGAATTCTGTAAATTATACCTGGAAATACTGCTATCCTCTTTCAGTATTTGCTCCGATACTAACCCAACTAATGCATACGTCTTGCCATTAGCATCAGGGTCTCTGACAGCACTGATGATGGCCTTGGCCACATCCACCACCTGAGGAAGAAAGGTTACGGCTTAGCTGGGTTCATTTGATCATCTTTATTTACCGAAGGGATTACATCAAAATAGCGGTCCCGTCACAACAAACGTACGTGAACGGGCTGCTTGACGGTCTTCTTTCCCGTGGATATGAGCGGAGTAGCGTTGCCAAACCAGCGCATGTCTGAGAAAGGACATTACATTTTCACTGGTTAGCTGACATGTGCTCGTAGGGTTAGAGCCCGAGGTAGGAGTGTTCACGAAAGAGCACAACACACAGCCTAATCACAGAAACCGAATCTATCTGACATGTCGGCCCACTAGTCGATTATAGTCAATGACTGATTTCAGAGTCTCTTCCACTCACGCCAACTACTTACTTGCATAATAGTTGAAGAAACGGTCCTCCCGGCCAAACATCTCAGATGGCTTCATGATGATCGCGTTGGGAAACTCGTCTCTCACTGCCGTTTCGCCTACAGCCTGTGGGTAAAAGTACAACGATCTAGTACATTTATACAGATACACCAGTTTGAATGAACCAAAACAGCCCTTCACCTTGTTCCTCAGGTATTTGGACTGGCTGCGTATATCAGCGTTGAGGTGGGACATGTGGACAAACTTTGTGATGCCGGCCTCTCTGGCCGCCTTGGCAATCTGCTGAGGGAGGGTCACAAAGACATCCTCGAAGCGGTAGTTGCTGTTCACAAAGAGGAGGAATACTTGCACATGAACAACCAGTTCAAGGCGATAACATTGCACATAAACCAAACCCTTTTGGACGTCTTTGCAGCCAACACATACCTCGTTTCCCACTCTCTGCCAACGAGGTTGATGACAACATTAGAGTTGTCCAACGTCCGTTTGATGGAGTCTTTGTTCCTCGCATCCCAATCCTGTGACGAGGCAGAGACAACACATTTTCATTTCACTAGAGGCTTGAAAAGCATCATTCCTACAAGTGAGTACATGCAGATCAAAGAATTGGCAAGATTTCTTCAAGATACACGCGTGTCTGTGTGCATCTTACCATGAAAATGATCTGTCCAAGATCCCCCATGGGCCTCAGGTACATGACGTCATACTGATCACAACGGTGAGGGACGACAACCTGAGAGCTGATGCGACCTGCAAGTCAGCAGTTAGTAAATGGACAATCACGTCTTTGCGTCATTCTCCTTTTTTTTTTTCTTCCTAACTTTCAAATTCATATTCCTAGTAGTATATATAAAATGAAACAAACATTACAATTTGTTGTTATGTGACTTGTCTTCCAATGCAGCTACTTGTGACGTATATTAAATAGCATTATTGAAGAACATGTGTGAAACATGACTTTCTTTTAATTGTAAGATAGCTTGTAGTTTTGTATTTTGTAAATACTCTTTTGTTAAGATGTAAAAATGGATGTTATTTGCTTGCAGAATTTGTTTTGCAGCGTGTATTATTGTACTGTCAACTACTGTATGATATTTTATGATCTTTTTATGAACATGTTTACCTGATCCAAAATCTGAATTCTGGGACAATTTCAAATGCTAAAATCACATCAAAGGATAGACATTAGAACAGCGGTGTCAAATATACGGCCCGTCGGGGGGGTGCAGTGCGCTGGATGACTAAGTGTAAAAATGATAAAATGAAAATAAATTAAAGACTTTTGTTTTTTTTCTATCTGAAATAAATCACAATAACTCAACAACTATTTAAACGTTCGACTTGGTAAATCAATAGGTATATTTATCCGAATTGCTCTGCGATCTTATCTGGAACATTGGACATGTAATGAAATGTTCACAAGCTCAAAATACGCAAGTTTGCTGAATATAGACTGTTGGGAAATATCAGTATGCATTACATTTAACATCAGTAATTATTTAAACTATATTTTTCAACTCACCCAGCCTGTTGACGACGTATCGACCCAGAAAGCCTGTAGCACCAAACACTGTTGCCGCTATTCCACTGGAGGAGGAGCGTCCTCCTTTACCTTTGGGGACGACAGCATGGTGAAACTTCCTCTGCTGGACTTTGGTGACGGAGGCAGCGGACAGCACAGCAGGAGAGCAGCTACCTACTGAGAGGAAAGCCACAGCGTTCGATCCACATCATAGAGGTGCTCTTCATTTCTATGCCATTACGTCAATCATATCATTAGGGCGTACGAAAAAACACATCCAATACAAAACAATTTAGTTCAACATCATCGCTAGTTACGTAGTTGAATCATCAAAACGGAGATCCAGATGTGGCTGGTGGCAGGCTACTGTGACTCAGTGGAGTGGACCGGTTCCTTGCACTCAACGACATCAAAGTTTCCTAAACGCATGGTACAGCTTGAAAGTGGAATGGGTCGGGAAGCGGTACCGGTGTGCCGGTCTGATAAAGGACTCCAGCGTTCAAGATGCACCTGGCTTTAGGAAAAGGCGAATGCAGCTGCAGCAGGAGTGGCATACCACATCTGTACCTGACCGAGTCAAAGGAGCCTACCAACGGCCACTTTTCAATCTCGGCATTCAAAATTGTAATTAATTTTTTCAGTTTCAGATTCGGACTCTCCCCCCTCATTGTGTTTCACTCTCTGAATATACTAAACATTAGCTGTAAAAATGATTAGACATAAAGGTGACTGAATGGGATAATATTGCATGCACTGACAGATACACACACACACACACACACACACACACACACACACACACACACACACACACACACACACACAGAGAGTAGCAAGAAGGTTTGTTAAAAGGCTGCATGCTTCCTAACGAACACCGAACGAACGGAGCCTCGGACTGTACATAAGCACTGGGTTGTGTACTACGGAAAAATAGCTGATGACAAAAATATAATGGGGACCAACTCTTGCTCCCTGTGAAGACAAATCACTTTAAAATATCGCCACTGTAACACAACAACATATCACTTAAAGCTCTATTGATATTTCAAAAGTTAAAGAAACATGGCGACGTAAACATGACAGACGTAACGTTAACGATAGGCCACTATGCAGGAAAAGGGCTATAACTCAGCCTGACTTAACTAACCATTATTTCATTAACACACCTGGAATTGTAGGTGTTTGTACAGTCATTTAACGTTACACAACAATATTAAAGTAATTACAAAATCTAAATGTGAGTTGCTAGCAAGCTAAAGCCCTTGCTAAGAGGTGACTAGCCGAGCCGGTTAGCAAGGTCACTGGAACCGACTGTGTGATCTAACAGTGAGACTGGCTTGGCACGGACTACGTGTTAAAATATTTAATATAACAACAATATACTCCCAGATGTCAATGCAAGCACCACAAACCTTCTATTTTGACATTACTCACTTGAAATCTTGGGAAGGACACTCGCAGGACGGCTAACCAGTGCTACGGTCGCCATCTTTCCTACTACGGCAGAGCGCATGGGCCAAAAAGCCTACGTCAATTCACACTAGCGGTGGTTAGAGGACAGTGTGGCGCGCACTGCTGAAACCTGGAAGCTGTGGTCCAAACACTACTAAACGTCCAAAAAAGTTTAGATATTAACTGTTTATAAATAAATGATCTATTTATTTACAAATTATCTTTTTGCATATTGTTTTAAGTTGCATGTGGCGATTGGCACCAATATTTAAATTAAAACAGTCAAATACTATTCAAGTGGGCCTGGACGACGGGGTTCTGGCGGGGTTTGCGTTTTTATTAACAAAAATTAACACTTTTTAAGTCTTTCAAATCATTTTAGATACAGTGTCCACTATTCCACGTGGAAACATAGAAACAAACTGAAATCTGGGTAATTATAATTAATAAAAATATACATATATTTATATTTTTATTCTTATATTTTCTATCATTATCATTATACTGCTGCTCTTGCTCTTTTACCATGTATCTTGTGTGCACTGTCCACTTTACTGCCGCAATCCTGTGAATTTCCCCATTGTGGGACAAATAATAACTTTAATTTATATAGGACCTTTCAAAACAAAGTTGCAAAGTGCTAAATGAATATCTTATCGTATCTCTCTCTTGTCTCTTCAATATGAAAGCATATGCTCTTGAAAACAAACTTTTAACTTTTACAAGTGTTTATGAGTACATCATAACTTTTCTTGTTTCAGCTTCAATCCATTCTCTTGGGATCACTTGTTTCTGAGCTAAGAGATAGGGAGAGCACAGCCTATCAATGTCCAATTCAATCTCTGTTGGTGACTTAGGACATAAATCTATTGTATTAATTGTATTTTCTGTATTGATAATCAAAAGTTCTTTTCATGGGTTTAGTTGAGGGTTCGCTGTCTTGTCTTGATTTAAGAGTTAGGTAAGGGGGGAAGCAGGATCTGCCAAGCAGGCAGACACGAGTCTGACAGGATGGGGAGTCAGTTTATGTCCTGGCTGAGGAATGTAAGGTCTGCGGGTCAACTAGAAGATTTACCAGCCAAAGGGGGGTTAGAGACACACCAACACTATTCAACATACACACTCTGTTTACGATGTTTACGTTAAGTCAGGAGTCTGGACATTGGATGTGACCGGATCTTAGATGCGGGGGGTGGAAGGTCCTCCTCTACGCGAGTTTAGGGCCAATAGAAATATTTCCTTCTCTGTCTTTCAAGGGTTATAAAACATGATGTTCTTGCTGATGTTAGTTAGTTGTTCTTCCGGCCTGTGTGCTGCCTGAACTGCTCCTGCCTTTGCAAACGCAGCGCTGATACTTGACCTGTGATCTGACAAATAAATTTTCCAGAACGAGAGAAGTCATTCGGCTGAATTTTTGATAACCCCGACCGGGCTCCAAATCTTGAACACGTATTCTTACAATTTGGTGACCCCGATGTGATTTGCTGACCTGGACAAAGAAAGACGGGGACGTCCGTTTTCCGGACCGAGCCGAAAGGACCGGCGGCGTGGTTCAGCATTGACAACAGGCGCGCAAACAGAATCAGGTGAGCAGACAACCTTTTGTTCTAAATGAATAAAATGTCTGTGATTGGATACTTCTAAAAATATTTGTTGTCAACTGCAGAATTCGTCTCTGTCCATTGACTTAATAAGGTCGTCATAAGACCACTAAATTTAAAACTAAATTTGAAAATTTCCTGTTGATCACATGTAAAGTATAAGCACATACTCACACTGAATTCAACGTTAGGGAAAGTGAATAAGTGTCCATAGGTTTAGGGATTTAGGTAAAAATATATATACTCTTAGTCTGTAGAAATCCAAGTTGCAATCCGTGTGGTACGTAGATACCTCTGGTAACTGCAGTCCCACGTTTGCATGCAGTGGACTGGCAGTTTAGAACAGTGTAGGGGTTTAGGTTTAGGTTTAGGGACTTAGGTAAATATATGAAGAGTTTAAAAAGGAACGACGGGGCTCACTTGAGTTCCCTGAGGTCGACTCTTAGTCTATAGAAATCCAAGTTACAATCCGTGTGGTACGTAGATACCTCTGGTGACTGGGGTCCCACGTTTGCATGTCGTGGACTGGCAGTTTAGAATAGAGCAGGGATTTATGTTAATCTTAGTATGTAGAAATCCAAGTTGCAATCCGTGTGGTACGTAGATACCTCTGGTCCTGCAGTCCTACTCTTGTGATTCTTGGACTGGCAGGTTAGAATATTAGATGAAGAAATAAGGACACAGGGAAAGATTTGTTGTTTTTCATACTGGGAAATGTGTGGGTGGTTGGTGTAACTCCTGGTGTTTTACCGAACCTGGAAGCTGGGCGTATCAGGACTTGAAAAAGGACTGAGAATCCGACAGTGAAAAGTGTTTGACCGGATTACACATCTGTGGGGATATGTATTAAAGGGTAAAAGGGAAAATCATAGTTAAATGATGGTGGTATAAATACGAGAGAAACAAAACAATACGAGTGAACTGGTGTTATAAGCCTCAACAATCGAGCGCTGTATTCCTCTAATACAGTAGAAGGTTCTTGATTGGGTAACACAGTATTGGGCATTGAGTCCTTTCTCTTGTGTTCAAAAACCACGTGTGAATAAATAAATAACCTGTGATGAAAATGGAGGAAACCATAACGATATGGGAGAGGTGTAAAGAAGGCACTCTGGGTTTCGCCCTGTTTAAGACTTATAAGAGACCTATGGATAAAACCCTAGAAAAAGATAGGAAATGTGTAACAAAAAAATATGTGAAGTGGGTTGCACAGATGCAGGAAAGAGGAATGTTTGGAAGGGAGACAGATTCTCAACCAACAGGCGAGCAGCTGCAGGACCATCTTAGGATGGCGATAAGAGGAAAAGACCAAGCGCATGCGCTCCTTGCCGTTAAAGGGAGATTTTGTGGAAAAGAGAAGAAAAGTGCAGAAAAGGCAGATGAGTTCTTAGTGGACTGTAGAACATTTCTGGGAGAAATAAATGCGGTATTCGTGAGTAAGAAGACAATGCAGTTGCCGCAAACCAAAGCAGGAGAAGAGAAAGTGCATGAGACCGGTTGTAAATCTAGTGCGCCTCCTCCCTACTCGACAGGCCCATATGCGGAGGCTAATCGGTTGTTAAATGAACCACATCAGATGCCACTGAGGCAAGGGAAAGCTACTAATCCAGGAGAATCTCAGGTTTTGGTAGTTCAAAAAGGGTTGTTACAGGTAACTCCATATCCACATGAAGAGAATGATGGGGTGGAGAAGGTTTCTGCTTTTCTCTCAGAGACGGTACAATATTTGGAGGACAGGCCCCAGCCGGAGCCTGTCGATTGGAGTAATCCTAACACACCACAGGGTCACTCGACAGTCGGAAAGAAGCGGCAACCCGAGCACAGACCTATGACCTCATTTAATGTAGGGGGAAGAAGAGTTGCAGGAGAAGAGACTTTGTTAGAAGTCATAGCCCAGGCAGAGCGGCAATCAATCACCCGGTGTGGACAGGATGAGCGGGGGAGGCAGGTTGAGTCAGAGGAAGATGAGCCTGGCCCTGCAGATGATTGGGACGAGGAATTTCAGGAGCATGGAGCAGCGCTAGAGTCACAAAAACCACAGTCATCTACTCCGATGGAGCGCCATGAGACAGGGGGGTTAAGAGGTAATAGGAACAGATATTATCAGGGGAATGCAGCCAGAGCGAATGTGCATCAATGTAATGATTTGAAACCTAAGTCAAACGGGATGCTCCGGCCTCTCATCAACTACCACTGTTAACGGCTATTTGTAGAGACGGAAGTGAAAAAACAACATATGCGCCACTCGCATTGTCAGACCTGAGCATGATGAAGCTCGCATTACCTAAAATAGAGAAGGGTGGTGCAGCGTGGATTCGTGGGTTCCTTGCTCAGTGTGCGGGTAGTGTTCCCGGTTTGGGGGATCTTAGAAGAATTTTTGTGGCGTGTGCCTCACTAGCTGACCTCCAGAAGTTAGAGGGGGAAGGCGGGACCTCTGACCTCCCTGACGGGGAGCCTCTGGCAAATTGGGTGTCAGTGCTCTGGCCAAAGCTCAAACTCCAATATCCTGTGAAGGTGGCTACCACAGAACTCACTTATGTTCCCCCACACGACGGTGAGGGTGGAAATAGTTATTTAAGGAGAGTCAGAGAATTATGGGACAACAAGTTAGGGGAAGGTGTCATGGATGATCACAGAACCGAGCTTCTTCTTCGCGGCGCCATAGAGTCATCTGTCTCGGAGACAATGAAGACCCAACTAAGAGGAATAGTGGGGTTGTCTGACATGAATTTTGATGCTTGGTCCTCACAGATTAAACACTATGTGGACCGGAGCAAAGAAAAATATGATAAGGAAAAGGGTGAATTAAACAATATTCAGTTACAATTGGCGAAAGCACAGCTGAAGGAAAGCAGAGAGAAGTTGAACCAGGGCAAGAGTGAAGCCAAACAGATGACCCAAACAACAGCGCCATCTCAGGGGGAAGGGCCACCTCAATATGACCCTTATCCAGACCCCCCTCCCTTCCCATATGCGCCAGCCTGCCAGCAACCACAACAGGCCGCGTACACTCCTCCACAGGCTTACTATCCCCAACCTTATGCCACGCAACCACAACACATGATGGGGGCCCCACTGTACGGTGGCTTCAGGCAACCGAAAAGACAGTGGGGAGGGGGAAATCGTGGCCGAGTTCCAAACAATGGAGGGCAGTTTAGACAACGACAGAATACTTGTTTCAGCTGTGGGCAGCTTGGACATTGGTCCGACGCATGCCCCCATCCACCTCAGGGTCAGAGGCCTCAGTCCAACCCAGCTCAATACCCTTACGATATCTATCCACCACAAGCACCACATACACTACAACAGGGTAATAGCCTGCGGCATCAGGCCCCAGGTCATCAGCAAATGCCATAGGGGTGCCCAGATCCGACGGCTGACGGTAACCTGTTTCCAGAACCCATGGTGACTCTGACAATCAACGGAAGAGATTACAGATGTATGCTGGACTCAGGTGCTAGGTATTCCACAATAAACACGCCACTGCCACCATCAAGGAA